AACAGTATCAATTATAAATAAACAGGTCCAGACATTGTTTATGCAGTAATGAAGCTCAGTGATATGTCTACAAGAGACTCCTTAGAAATCCTCCATATGATGTGTGCTTCAGAAAGGAAGCCTTGGGGTTTCCCAGTGCATGATCTGAGAGGAACACTGTAGATGCCTTTGCTCAGGTGCTGTCAGAGAACTGCCAGTTCATCATATAGAGAGGAGAGCCCCTTAAGAGGTCCAGGACATGCAACCAAAACACGGCCAAATTGAGTCACAAGAAAGTGGAGGATCTTGACTTCTTCAGAATTGATTCAATGGAAGAAGGTAGAGAAAATACAATTAGAATAAAAGGATAATGTAAATAGGATAGATCCTAATTGGATAGAAGTCACAGTCAAGACCAGAGTCACATGCATGTGATCATGACCCCAATTAGCTATTTTCAGAAATGAAAGGTTGTTCCAACTCTGGAACATTATTCAAAGTTTTCATCACATAGACTAAATAAGTGCAGAATAATCATAATATTGCTTCAGTTCATGAAAAAAAAATCAATGCATAAAATAAACACATTTTCAAAATCCAATACCTTAACAAGTGAGGATTAAAAAAGCCTTCCTGCTGTAGTTGAAACAGTTCTGATTCACCCACCATGAGGGGTGCCAACCCTTGAGACAAACAGCTTCCAAAAGAGAAAGTGATCATTCATCAGTCAAGCTGGAGGATGGGCGAGAAAGTCTCAAATCTGTCTTCACATGGAGTGTTTGGACCTCTGATGTCAGACACGACACACCACCCAACATGCCCTGGCACAGGAGCAAGGGAAGGGACAGTGGTTTCAACAAGGTGCAGCAGAAAAGATGCCCTGCAAGTTCCTGGAAAACCTCCTGACCAACTGTTCCTCTTAAGCCATTGTGACCTGAGGGTCACAGGTGTAATATAGCGCAAAGATGCAAGATAGACTATGCTGAAATGAGCAAAAAGAGCATCATTATTTGTGATGTGATTGCACAAAAAATTATGCCCTTCCAAAAAGATCTACCATGCACTCTTAGATATAA